CCAGCTTGAGAGTCACTGGACTTCTGTCGCACAACATATCTGTCCATAGAGGCCTGTACCTCTCGTTCCTTTATGACTTTCCTAAAGTGGTTCACAACATTGTCATTGTACAGGTTGCGAACACAGCTTGCAGTAGCTGTGTCAGGGTGATTTTCATCAAAAAAAGTTTGCACTTCAAGCCACTGTGCACACATTTCCTTAATCTTTGAAGTAGGCAACTTCTTCAATTTCTCTATCTCCTCTGAAGCAGTTTCCTCAGGTCTGGCCTCTTGCTGTTGAAGATGATCTAGCAGCTCATCAGTGGTTAGTTCATCATTGTCCTCCTCCACCAACTCTTCCACATCCTCCCCACTAACCTCCAACCCCAAGGACTTCCCAATGCCACAATGGATTCCTCAACTGGCATAGGATTCCCAGGGTTAGCCTTCAAAATCCCTTTTGTTTACACATTCTGGCCACAGTTTTTTCCAAGCAGAGTTCAAGGTCCTCTTAGTCACTTCCTCCCAAGCCTTACCTAAAGGTTTACACAATTGAGGATATTAAAGTGATCCTTCCAAAACTCTTTTAGAGTCAATTGAGTGTCTGTGGTCACTTCAAAGCACTTTTGAAACATAGCTTTTGTGTACGGTTTCTTGAAGTTGGAAATGACCTGCTGGTCCATGGGCTGCAGGAGAGGAGTGGTATTAGGAGGCAAAAACTTGACCTTAATGAAGCTCATGTCCCCAGAAAGTCGCTCTGCCAAGTCTGTAGGATGACCAGGGGCATTGTCTAATACCAGGAGGCACTTAAGGTCTAATATCTTTTCAATTAGGTAATTTTTCACATTGGGGGCAAATGCATGGTGTAACCAGTCATAGAAAAAGTCCCTAGTGACCCATGCCTTACTGCTTGCCCTCCACAGCACACACAAATTAGCCTTGAGGACATTGTTTTGCCTGAACGCTCTGGGAGTTTCTGAGTGATACACCAATAAAGGCTTCACTTTGCAATTACCACTAGCATTGGCACACACCATAAGAGTAAGCCTGTCTTTCATAGGCTTATGTCCTGGGAGTGCTTTTTTCTCCTGAGTAATGTAGGTCCTGCTTGGCGATTTCTTCCAAAACAGGCCTGTTTCGTCGCAATTAAACACTTGTTCAGGTTTCAAGTCTTCACTGTCTATGTAATCCTTGAATTCCTTCACATATTTTTCAGCTGCTTTTTGTCCGAACTGGCAGCCTCACCATGCTTAATCACACTATGTATGCCACTACGATTCTTAAATCTTTCAAACCAACCTTTGCTGGCCTTAAATTCACTCACATTACCACTAGTTGCAGGCAATTTCTTTACCAAATCATCATGCAACTGCCTAGCCTTTTCACAAATGATCGCTTGAGAGATGCTATCTCCTGCTATCTGTTTTTCATTTATCCACACCAATAACAGTCTCTCAACATCTTCTAACACTTGCGGTCGCTGTTTCGTAATCACAGTTGCACCTTTTGCAACAATAGCTTCCTTGATTGCCATTTTCCTGGTCACTATAGTAGCGATGGTTGATTGGGGTTTTGTATACAACCTGGCCAGCTCCGACACACGCACTCCACTTTCGTACTTTGCAATTATCTCTTTCTTCATTTCAATAGTCATTAGCACCCTTTTTCTCGAAGGGTTGGCACTAGAAGCTTTCTTGGGGCCCATGGTGACTTATTTTGCAGAAATAAGCACCAAAAACACTGTGATAATATAGAATGTACCGAATGTATCCTTAGATGCGAGCACACTGGCTGGCTTGTAAACACTGGCACACACGGGGCAGTTCAGGCCACACATGGACACGTCTCAGATGAATCGCATATGGTGGGTTTTTTAACCGGAACCGAGGCAAATTTTTTGCGTTAAAATGTATCGAATACTGGATTTATCGGATACCGATGCCATCGCAAACCGGGGGTCCACTGTATTTTATTCATTCTAGAGTATATATCATGTTTCTATGTTATTTATATTGTTTGTTATGTCATATTAGATGAACTGTGATATATAAAAATTATTCATGAAGTATTTTGAGTGGTCTCCAGACAAACTCATCCACTGCCAACACCACCCATACCACTACATGAATGACATATTTTATTCATTTTAGAGTATATATCATGTTTCTATGTTATTTATTGTTTGTTATGTCATATTAGATGAACTGTGATAGATAAATAAGCTGTATAGATGATATTAGCGAAATTATTCATGAAGTATTTTGCCCGGTCTCCAGACAAACTCGTTCACCGCCGACACCGCCCATACCACTACATGAATGACATATTTTATTAATTTTAGAGTATATGTCAGGTTTCTATGTTATTTATATTGCTTATTATGTCATATTAGATGAAGTGAGATAGATAAATAAGCCGTAGCGCTGATATTAGCGAAATTATTGAAGTACAGAATTCCACTGGAACGGATTAATTGCATTTCAGCTAATTTAAATGAGGAAAATTGACTCTGCAAACGAGCAAATCCAGTTGCGAGCAAGGCCATGGAACGGATTAAACTCGCGAGTAGAGGTTCCACTGTACTTGTAGAAATAAGGATATTATTATTATTATTATTATTATTATTATTATTATTTATTATTATTATTATTGTTATTATTATTATTATTATTATTATTATTATTATTATTATTATTATTATTATTATTATTATTGCTCAAATTTGACACACATAAACATTGTGTACATTTAAGGCTTTAATTTAAATTCATTTGTCTGTCTGTCAAGTTAATGTCCACTATTATATTTATGGGGAAGTACTAAACTCAGTTGGGGTCATTTGGCATCTAGGGAATGGAAGACTATAAAGTTCAATCTGAGAAAGGTGGGAGCAACCCCAGTTACTTGGATCAAGAATTCCTCACCAGCATAAAAGAACCTTCCCTGAGGAGTGAGGACAATTGGAGTTCTCTCAGATACTTTCCACTTATGTCCTGGAATTATTTTTTTCTTTTGATGAATAAGAGCAGTGTGCCCCATAAAAATATTTATCCATTGTCCATTTACTGAAGGTGGAAAGGTTAAACAAAGCTACAAGGTTCTGGTGACCTATGTTTTGTCCCAGAGACTTATTATTATTATTATTATTATTATAGATGGGGTTGTAAAGGAAGTAAATACTAGGGTGTTCAGGAGAGGGGTGGGATTAAATTTTGGGGAATCAAATTCAAAATGGGAATTGACACAGTTACTTTTTGCTGATGATACTGTGCTTATGGGAGATTCTAAAGAAAAATTGCAAAGGTTAGTGAATGAGTTTGGGAATGTGTGTAAAGGTAGAAAGTTGAAAGTGAACATAGAAAAGAGTAAGGTGATGAGGGTGTCAAATGATTTAGATAAAAATTGGATATCAAATTGGGGAGGAGGAGTATGGAAGAAGTGAATGTTTTCAGATACTTTGGGAGTTGACGTGTCGGCGGATGGATTTATGAAGGATGAGGTTAATCATAGAATTGATGAGGGAAAAAAAGGTGAGTGGTGCGTTGAGGTATATGTGGAGTCAAAAAAACGTTATCTATGGAGGCAAAGAAGGGAATGTATGAAAGTATAGTAGTACCAACACTCTTATATGGGTGTGAAGCTTGGGTGGTAAATGCAGCAGCGAGGAGACGGTTGGAGGCAGTGGAGATGTCCTGTTTAAGGGCAATGTGTGGTGTAAATATTATGCAGAAAATTCGGAGTGTGGAAATTAGGAAAAGGTGTGGAGTTAATAAAAGTATTAGTCAGAGGGCAGAAGAGGGGATGTTGAGGTGGTTTGGTCATTTAGAGAGAATGGACAAAGTAGAATGACATGGAAAGCATATAAATCTATAGGGGAAGGAAGGCGGGGTAGGGTCGTCCTCGAAAGGGTTGGAGAGAGGGGGTAAGGAGGTTTTGTGGGCAAGGGGCTTGGACTTCCAGCAAGCGTGCGTGAGCGTGTTAGATAGGAGTGAATGGAGACGAATGGTACTTGGGACCTGACGATCTGTTGGAGTGTGAGCAGGGTAATATTTAGTGAAGGGATTCAGGGAAACCGGTTATTTTCATATAGTCGGACTTGAGTCCTGGAAATGGGAAGTACAATGCCTGCACTTTAAAGGAGGGGTTTGGGATATTGGCAGTTTGGAGGGATATGTTGTGTATCTTTATATGTGTATGCTTCTAAACTGTTGTATTCTGAGCACCTCTGCAAAAACAGTGATAATGTGCGAGTGTGGTGAAAGTGTTGAATGATGATGAAAGTATTTTCTTTTTGGGGATTTTCTTTCTTTTTTGGGTCACCCTGCCTCGGTGGGAGATGGCCGACTTGTTGGAAAAAAAAAAAAAATATTATTATTATTATTATTATTTTTAATTTATGCAACTCTTCACTCTTAGAATTCTTTACCTTCATATAATATGTATTTTACAAACATTAACAGATTATGTACATATTTCATAACTCTTTGCCTTCATATTATGATGTATATTTTACAAACCTTAGCAGATTATTTGTTGGTTTTAGGCCTCTCTTTCCACTTATACATTCATTGCTTTACATTTCATTCATTATGTTTTTGAAGTGTCCATACCTTCTCAATGTGTCTTTTTCCTTGTGGTGTATTGACTTTCTCTCTTATTCTGTAAATTTTGATTAATTTTGGCCACTCATTTTCTTGATTCCTCTCTTATTTGAAACTTGATAGCTACTCACCCATACCGAGAAGTTAGGTTCTTTCATGAAATTTGGTATTAATAAATATGCAGTCACTGTAGCTTTATTTGTTGTTCATTACCATTATTCTTTCAAATTCCATTTACCCACCTGAACCTGCAGGTTTTATCATAAAAAAAAGTTCAGCATGGGAGATTTTTCTACAATATATTTAGTTGCAATTTTTCACTTTCTAATAATCACATACAAAGCATCTGTTGCATAGTGTTCAAACAAGTATAGTGTAAATTGTATAGTATCAGGTCCTAACAGGGTACTTTCACCAACAGGCTATATGTAAATCCTTAACAAAGCTTCGCATCCTCATCTTAAATGGCTGCACAGCGTTGTCAGACATTGGTCTAGCCGGTCATGGCCTTGGTCAGAAGGACCCAGAGTTGAGTCAAGCAGTAGGTCTCTCACTAGAGAACCTTGGTATAAAGGAAAAAGGTGAGCTTCTTGTTATTATATTTATTCATAATAATTTATGCAGCTTCTTCACTAATCCATAAGTTCAGAAATTAATTTGCATATTATTATAGGTTGAGGTGGTTTAGTCATTTATAGAGGCTGGAAAGTGATAGGATGGTGGGGTAGAATGCTTAGAGGTCATCCCAGGAATGGTTTGAGGGAGGGGGTGAAGGGGGCTTTGAGTTTTAGGGGCTTGAATATCCAGCAAGCTTGTGTAAGGATGTTAGGTAAGAGTGAATGGAGACAAGTGATTTTTAACCCTTAAACGGTCCAAACAGATAGACGTTCAGATTCGTAGTGCTCCAAAAGTAGATCTAATTTTTTTTACATATTTTCAAATATAACAAAAAAAAATGTAGATAAAAGTTTTTTTTACACGTTTTCAAATGTAAAACAAAAAAGAAGATCTACATTTTTTTACATACTTTCAGATGTTGAAAAAACATATATATACGTTTGGACCGTTTAAGAGTTAATGGATGTGCTATTCGATTGCAAGCAAGATAACATTTATGATGGAATTTAGGGAAATCAGCTAGCTGGACTTGAGTCCTGGAGGTAGGAAGAGCAATGCCTCCACTCTGAAGGGGTAATAGGGATGTTGCAGTCAAGAGGATAATCAGCACACTTTTGGCAAGAGAATGATTAAATAATGATGGTAAATGTGTTTTCTTCTTTGGGTCATCCTGCCTTGGTGAGAGAGAGCCATTGTAACCCCTTTTCCTCTATAGCCTACTAAAAAGAAAAAGAAGAAAATTGTCAAAGTGGGATGTTTGAATGTGCGTGGATGTTGTGCAAATGATAAGAAAGAGATGATTGTGGATGTTATGAATGAGAAGAAGCTGGATGTCCTGGCTTTAAGTGAAACAAAGCTGAAGGGGGTGGAAGAGTTTCGGTGGGGAGAAGTAAATGGGATTAGGTCAGGGATTTCGAATAGAGTTAGAGCTACAGAAGGAGTAGCAATAATATTGAAGGATAAGCTATGGCAGGAAAAGAGGGAGTATAAATGTATTAATTCAAGGATTATGTGGAGTAAAATAAAGGTTGGATGTGAAAAAATGGGTTATAGTAAGCATACATGCACCTGGAGAAGAGAGAAGTGTAGAGGAGAGAGAGAGATTTTGGGAAATGTTGAGTGAGTGCATGGCTATTACTGAACCAAGTGTGAGAGTACTTGTGGTTGGGGATTTCAAAGCTAAAGTGGGTAAAAATGTTGTGGAAGGAGTAGTAGGTAAATTTGGGGTGCCAGGGGTAAATGAAAATGAGGAGCCTTTAATTGAGCTATGTGTAGAAAGAGGTTTGGTAACAAGTAATACATATTTTATGAAAAAGAGGGTAAATAAATATACAAGTTATGATATAGCACATAATGAAAGTAGTTTGTTAGATTATGCATTGGTGGATAAAAGGTTGATGGGTAGGCTTCAGGATGTACATGTTTATAGAGGGGCAACTGATATATCGAATCATTATTTAGTTGTAGCTACATTAGAGTAAGCGGTAGATGGGACAAAAGGAAAATGGCAACAACAAGTAAGAGAGAGGTGAAAGTGTATAAACTAAGGGAGGAGGAAGTTCGGGTGAGATATAAGCAACTATTGGCAGATAGGTGGGCTAGTGCAAGTATGAGTGGGGGGGGGGGCATTGAAGAGGGTTGGAATAGTTTTAAAAATGCAGTATTAGAATGTGGGGCAGAAGTTTGTGGCTATAGGAGGGTGGGTGCAGGAGGAAAGAGGAGTGATTGGTGGAATGATGAAGTAAAAGGTGTGATAAAAGAGAAGAAGGTAGCTTATGAGAGGTTTTTACAAAGCAGAAGTGTTAATAAGAAGAGCAGAGTATATGGAGAGTAAAAGAAAGGTGAGAGGGGTGAGAGAGTGCAGAAGGAGAGCAGATGATAGAGTGGGAGAGGCACTGTCAAGAAATTTTGATGAAAATAAGAAAAAATTTTGGAGTGAGATAAACAAGTTAAGAAAGCCTAGGGAACGAATGGATTTGTCAGTTAAAAACAGAGTAGGGGAGTTAGTAGATGGGGAGATGGAGGTATTGGGTAGGTGGCAGGAATATTTTGAGGAACTTTTAAATGTCGACGAAGAAAGGGAGGTGGTAATTTCGTGCACTGGCCAGGGAAGTATACCATCTTTTAGGAGTGAAGAAGAGCAGGATGTGAGTGTGGGGGAGGTGTGTGAGGCATTACGTAAAATGAAAGGGGGTAAAGCAGCTGGGACTGACAGGATCATGACAGAAATGGTAAAAGCAGGGGAGGATATAGCATTGGAGTGGTTGGTATTTTTGTTTAATAAATGTATGAAAGAGGGGAAGGTACCTAGAGATTGGCAGAGAGCAAGTACAGTTCTTTTATATAAAGGGAAGGGGGACAAAAGAGATTGTAAAAATTACAAAGGAATAAGGTTACTGAGTATACCAGGAAAAGTGTACAGTAGGGTTATTATTGAAAGAATTAGAGGTAAGACAGAATGTAGGATTGCAGATGAGCAAAGAGATTTTAGAGTGAGTAGGGGATGTGTAGATCAAGTGTTTACATTGAAGCATATATGTGAACAGTATTTAGATAAAGGTAGGGAAGTTTTCATTGCATTTATGGATTTAGAAAAGGCATATGATAGAGTGGATAGGGGAGCAATGTGGCAGATGTTGCAAGTATATGGAATTGGTAGTAAGTTATTAAATAGTGCAAAGAGTTTTTATGAGGATAGTGAGGCTCAGGTTAGGGTGTGTAGAAGAGAGGGAGACCTACTTCCCAGTAAAAGTAGGTCTTAGACAGGGATGTGTAATGTCACCATGGTTGTTTAATATATTTATAGATGGGGTTGTAAAAGAAGTAAATGCTAGGGTGTTCGGGAGAGGTGTGGGATTAAATTATGGGGAATTAAATACAAAATAGGAATTGACACAGTTACTTTTTGCTAATGATACTGTGCTTATGGGAGATTCTAAAGAAAAGTTGCAAAGGTTAGTGGATGAGTTTGGGAGTGTGTGTAAAGGTAGAAAGTTGAAAGTGAACATAGAAAAGACTAAGGTGATGAGGGTATCAAATTATTTAGAAAGAGAAAAATTGGATATCAAATTGGAGAGAAGGAGTATGGAAAAAGTGAATGTTTTCAGATATTTGGGAGTTGACATGTCAGAGGATGGATTTATGAAGGATGAGGTTAGCCATAGAATTGATGAAGGAAAAAAGGCAAGTGGTGCATTGAGGTATATGTGGAGACAAAAAACTTTATCTATGGAGGCAAAGAAGGGAATGTATGAAAGTATAGTAGTTCCAGCACTCTTACATGGGTTTGAAGCTTGGGTTGTAAATACTACAGCGAGGAGGCGGTTGGAGACAGTGAAGATGTCCTGTCTAAGGGCAATGTGTGGTGTAAATATTATGCAAAAAATTCGGAGTGTGGAAATTAGGAGAAGGTGTGGAGTTAATAAAAGTATTAGTCAGAAAGCTGAAGAGGGGTTGTTGAGGTGGTTTGGTCATGTAGAAAGAATGGATCAAAGTAGAATTACATGGAAAGCGTATAAATCTGTAGGGGAAGGAAGGCGGGGTAGGGGTCGTCCTCAAAAATGTTGGAGGGAGGGGGTAAAGGAGGTTTTGTGGGTGAGGGGCTTGGATTTCCAGCAAGCATGCGTGAGCGTGTTAGATAGGAGTGAATGAAGACGAATGGTATTTGGGACCTGACGATCTGTTGGAGTGTGAGCAGGGTAATATTTAGTGAAGGGATTCAGGGAAACCGGTTATTTTTATATAGCCGGACTTGAGTCCTGGAAATGGGACTCTAAAGGAGAGGTTTGGGATGTTGGCAGTTTGGGGGGATATATTGTATTTCTTTATATGTATATGCTTCTAAACTGTTGCATTCTTAGCACCTCTGCAAAAACAGTGATTATGTATGAGTGAGGTGAAAGTGTTGAATGATGAAACTATTTTCTTTTTTTGGGGATTTTCTTTCTTTTTGGGTCACCCCGCCTCGGTGGAGACGGCCAACTTGTTGAAAAAAGAGAATAGTATTATTTCTGAAATGTTTCACTTTCATAGCAGATTTCTTCAGTTGAATAAAGTAGTAACTAAAATAATGGGGAAAGTTGAAGAGATTCTGTGAGGGAGGTTCAGTCCCTCAACTTTGATAGAAGTGGAAAGATTAATACTGTGGAACTGAACAACTTTCATCAAAGCTGAAGGACTGAGCACCTCAAAATTACTTTTCCATATCTTTTAAAGTTGAGAGACTGAACACCTTAATCTCTTCTTCAACTGTACCCATTATTTTGGCCACCTCTATATTCAAATGATGAAGCCAACTGAGCAGGTGTAACATTTTGTGAATGTAAATATCAAAATGATACAAATGTGTCTAATTCATCTATATTATATCTGTTAAATTAGTGTTCTTGGTTTATTGATTGTTGAAAATATGGGTTATTTATATAAATATTTTGTGCTGCGCAGTTTCCTATATGCCCTCAACAGCAGTTATTCTGTTGAGGGCATAAGTGCCCTCAAGACTAAATAAAGAAAGAGGACATGAATGTATTTAGATATTTGGTAATGAACATGGCTGTTGACGGGTCTATGAAAGGTGAGGTAAGCCACAGAATAGACGAGGGGGAAAAAGTTATGTTGAAGCAACCGTGGAAAGAAAAGTTAATCTATGGAGAACAAGAATGTAGTGGTACCAACACTTGTATGGGTGCGAGGCATGGATTTTAAACCTTGTAGCAAGGAGGCTGGAGGCTGGAGGCAGTGGAAATGTCAATCTTGAGAGCATGGTATGGTGTGAATATGCAAAGAATTCAGAGTGTAGAAATTGGAAAATAGTGTAGGATGATAACTAAAAGTATATTTCAGAGAACTGGAGAGGGATTATTGAGGTAGTTTGGACAGAGAGTATGGAGCAGAATAGGATGACAGGAGGGTGTTTAAATCTGGGGTGAAAGTATGGAGGAGAATAGGAACATTTGCTGGTGAGCATTCTTCACTAATTTTTTTTTTTTTTTTTTTTTTTTAGAAGTTGAATTTGTATATAGAATTATGGTTCGTTTTTATTTTACAAAATGTTTGTGATTATCAATTTTGTCAGGGTTATGGCTACTGTTCATATATAATTTATATCCAGTCATTTAAAAAAATGTTGCAGTACAGTATATGTTGGTTACACATTGTAGTAACTCTTTCTCTGTTGTCTAACTCAATGGATAATTTCCAGGCAGAGATGCATTATGGCTCATTGCATGGTTGAGTCAGTTCACACAAAGCAGAAAATGAGATTCATGCACTCACATAGTTGCTCTTCATTATAGATCCATTCAAAGTGCAACTTGGCTCAAGAGCTGAAAAAACTATTCGACAAGAAGCAGAAGTTAAGAGGTACTTACAGAACAACATTGATCAGATTGTTAAGTCATCTGAATACAGCCTGTCAAACCTCATTGGTAAGTTGCTTACAAGTTCTAAATCAATTTACACATTGTAGTATGATACTTAGTTATGATTCATATTAGAGTACAGTGGACCCCCGACTTACGATGTCCTGAGCCTACATTAAAACGGACTTATGATGCTTGCCAGCATAAAAATTTGACCCCGACATACGTTGGAAAACTCGACTTACATCATTCGTCCTGTACGCGTCCACATGTCTGTCTGGCCTGAGCGCTTCAACTGAGCTAGTGTGACATTGTTTACAAGCTGGCGCGGACGGTTGCACGCATACATTCGATAAATTTTGTATTATTCCAGTGTTTTTAGTGCTTGTAACTGCTAAATAATCCCAAAGAAAGCTTCTAGTGCCAACCCTGTGGTAAAAAGGGTGAGAATTACTATCGAAATACTATCATACCATGGTCAGCTGCTGCTGCACCTCGGTCAGCTGCTGCTGCACAACGGTCAGCTGTACTACTCGAAGATGTGGAGACTGTTATTGGTGTGGCTTATCGAGAATACCGAGAAACAATTAACCCCAGAGGGTTACCCAAGAAAGTCAGTGTGTCATCGAGGACTGTCTAACCTATTACCATTGGAGTCCTTAATCTTGTCCCCCAGGATGCGACCCACACCAGTCGACTAGCACCCAGGTGAAAAAGAAAAAGTGCCTGGAACTAGTGCTCATATTGGTGAATTTAAGGCCAGCAAAGGTTGGTTTGAGAGATTTAAGAATCATAGTGGCATACACAGTGTGATAAGGCCTGTTCTGGAAGAAAATGCCAAACAGGGCCTACATTACTCAGGAGGAAAAGGCACTCCCAGGACACAGTGTCTCATCACTCATCACTACATCTTTAATAAAGGTAGTGTCATTTATTCTTCATTTAGTACACTAGTACATGCACAATGTGCATATATTGTGCATGTATCCTTCTTTTAGTGTGTTGGAAAATGTATATTTCATGTGGTAAAAAAAAAATTTCATACTTTTGGGTGTCTTGAATGGATTAGTGGACCCGCATATCATTACCTTTCGTATGGGACAATATGTAAGTTATTTATGTAATTGCGTTGTACGTGTATGTTGGGGGTCTGAAATGGATAATATTCCAATATCTTAGGACAATTCGGGGTCAGTACTGCACCTGAATACTTCTGGAGGTAAATGATGTTAACGGGGTCCACTGTATTGATTCATATTTATGGGAAAAGAATTGACTTAGATAATTGTCTTAACGATGAAGATGGATAATAATCGGGTCCACGCATATATTGGGAGAGTTGAAAGTGTATGAATAGATAATAAAGATTTATGAAAGAAGATGAGAATTGTATAGTATGAAGGGGTTATTCCTAGTAAAAGTAGGTCTTGCAGGAATGTATGATGTTACCATGGCTGATGAGCATATTTATAGATGGGGTTGTAAAAGAAGTTAATGCTAGTGTGTTGGGGAGAGGTGTGGGATTAAAATGTAGAGAATCTAATATAAAGTAAGATTTGTCACAGTTGCTTTTAGCTGATGACACTGTGCTTCTGGGAGATTCTGAAGAGAAGTTGAAGAGATTGGTGGATGAATTTGAGGGCATATGTAATAGAAAGAAATTAAAAAGTGAACATATGACAGAGCAAGGTGATGAGGGTAACAAAAAATTTAGGCAATGAAAGATTGGATATCAGACTGGAAGTACGGAGTATGGAGGAAGTGAATGTGTTCAGATATTTGGAAGTGGACTTGTTGGAGGATGGGTCTATGAGAGATGAGGTGAAACTTAGAATTGATTAGAGAAAAAAGGTGGGTGGTGCATTGTGGCATCTGTGGAGACAAAGAATGTTATCCATGGAGACTAAAAGGGGAATGTATGAGATTGTAGTGGTACCAACACTTATATGAGTGTGAAGCATGGGTTGTGAATGTTGCAGTGAGGAGGAGGCTGGAGACAGTGGAGACATGTCTGAGGGTAATGTGTGATGTGAATGTTATGCAGAAAATTCATAGTTTGAAGATAAGGAGGTGTGGGATTACTAAAAATATAATACAGGAGGTTGAGGAGGGAGTTGTTGAAGCAGTTTGGAGATTTAGAAAGGATGGAGCAAATTAGGATAACTTGGAGAATGTATAAGTCTGTTGTGGAGGGAAGGCAGAATAGGGGTCACCCTAGGAAAAGTTAAAGGGAGGGGATAAAGGAGGTTTTGTATGTAAGGGGCTTGAACATCCAGCAGGTGTTTTAGATAGGAGTGAGTGGAGGCAAGTAATTTTTATGACATGACATGATGTTAAGTATAAGGCAAGGTAACATTTATGAAGGGATTCAAGGAAACCAGTTACCCAGACTTGAGTCCTGGAGGTGGGAAGTACAATGTCTACACTCTGAAGGAGGGTTGGAAATATTTGCCATTTTGAGGAGCATCTGAACTGTTGTATCGGCACCCCTCTGGCAAGACAGTGATGGTGAAAGAGTTCCTTCTTTTTCATGTCACCTTGCCTCAGTGGGAGATGGCTGGTGTGTTAATAAAATATATAGTATAGTATGACATAGAAAAATATACAGTCATAAGTTTGCATTCTTCCAGTAGTATATTTTGTTAACTTAATCTTTCCCTTACATATATATTTTACAGCTGGATGAATTAATTTCGTTCTAGGTAGTAGGTTGGTAGAGAGCAACCAGCCAGGGAGATGCTACCGTTCTGCCAATTGAGTGTGAAACTGTAAATGTTTTACATGATAGTAGGATTGCTGGTGTCTTTTTTCTGTCTCTTAAACATGCAAGATTTCAGGTACGTCTTGCTACTTCTACATATACTTAGGTCACACTACACATACATGTAAAAGCATATATATATACACACCCCTCTGGGTTTTCTTCTATTGTCTTTCTAGTTCTTGTTCTTGTTTATTTCCTCTTATCTCCATGGGGAGAATTCTTCCTCCATAAGCCATGCATGTAAGAGGTGACTAAAATGCCAGGAGTAAGGGGCTAATAACCCCTTCTCCTGTATAAATTACTAAATTTAAAAAGAGAAACTTTCGTTTTTCTCTTTGGGCCACCCTGCCTCGGTGGGATACGGCCGGTTTGTTGAAGAAGAAGAATTAATTTTGTGTAGGTAGTAGGTTGGTAGACAGCAGCCACCAGGAAGGTACTACGTATTGTCCTTCCAAGGGAGTGTGAAATGGAAGCCTGTAATTGTTTTAGATGATGGTAGGATTGCTGGTGTGTTTATTCTGTCTCATAAACATGCAAGATTTCAGGTACATCTTGCTACTTCTACTTACACTTAGGTCACACTACACTTGCATGTACAGCAATATAATATATATATATATATATGCAATTAGTTGTGTGGATGTTGTTGTTTTTTTCTACTATTTTTCTATGTTCTTCTGTCTTGCCTTGTTTATTTCCTCTCATCTCCATGGGAAAGCGGAACAGAATTCTTCCTCAGTAAGCCATGCGTGTTGTAGGATACTACTAACATGCTGGGAGGAAGGGGCTAGTAATCCCCTTTTCCTGTATACATTATTAAAGTTAAAAAGAGAAACTTTCGTTTTTCTTTTTGGGCCACTTGCTTCAGTGGGATACAGCCGGTTTGTTGAAAGAAGAGATTAATTTTGTAATAAAATTTAAACCAACATTAAATAGATGCACGTTACTTAATCATAAATCAGTGTTTTTAACAAAAGGCAAACCTATTCTAATGCATCTCTTAAAGCTATAACCTTAAATACTGTACTCATTTATGTTATCTTTTAACACTAGGTTTACGTGAGCTGAATTTGTGTGGCTGCAGGAGGATCACCGACATTACACTAATCTATGCCTTTCATCTGCGGGAATTACAATACCTTAACCTTTCCTTCTGTCAAGCGGTTTGTATTCTATATCTTTATTTTATCATAATACATATTAAAAATATATTTAATGTTATACTGTATTTTATGCACATATGCACACACACACAAAAACAAAATCTCCAAGTTCCAAATTCTGTACATAATATTCACACCAGTCATCTCTTCACTGCAGTATTTAAAACTCATGCCTCACACACACAATACCTGGTGCATATTCCTTTTTTTGCCTCAGTGGCTAAAGTTCTTTGTCTCCACAGATACCTCGTTGTGTCACCCACCTTTTTTTTTCCCCTTGTCAATTCTATTGTTCACGTCATCTTTCAGAGACCCATCCACTGACAGGTCCACTCCCCAAATATCTGAACACATTTACTTCCTCCACACTCATTCTCCATCCAATTTAATATCCAAGCTTTCATTGGCCAGATTTGTGTGTTTATTCTTATTTATACTTATTCTTACATTCATTCTTAATTTCCTTCTTTTTGCATATCCTCCCAAACTCCTTCACCATATTTTGCAACTTCTATTCAAAATCTCCCAAAAGAACCACATCATCAGCTAAAACCAACTGTAACATCTCCCATTTTGTATCTAATATGTTTTCTTTCAATCTCTTCCCACCTGCACCTGCTGTCCTATACTCAAAAACTTCTCTTGTGCACTCTAACACTACAGTGTTAAATCTACTCCATACCTTTTTAACTGCCTCCTCACTACCTATACTCTCTATGGCCCTCCTTTCTCCCAATACCTGTAGTTGCTTATCTTACCCTGATCTCTATTAACTTCACCTCACTCTTACCCACTGTTGACATTCTCATTGTACCCCATCTGCCTCATATTTACACCATAGCTACCACTGAATAATGATCTGATATATCTGTCACCCATCTAAAAAACATGCACATGCAGAAGTCTACCTGTCAACCATTTATCTACTAATTCATGGTCTATAAAACTGTTGTTATTGGAATCAATATTATTATTTTTTTCCTTTAATTATTTGACCATTTGAATTGATGTCACACATGTGTTCATTTTGTTCATATGTAGTTGGCTTAAAAGTACTCAGTAGAGTATGGGTAAGAACTGTCTATTTAATAATTGCAATTGGCATTTTGGGAGACTGGAAGTATTCCTCTTAGATGTGTATCCCAGACTGATGCTGTTGCTGTTGTGGCATGAGTGACCCCTTACCACAAGCCTCTGTCTAACTCACCCAGGCAAACAACCCTCACCATAACCCTCTATCCCACACACCTAGGTACCCACCAAGACCCTCCTTCCCACTCTCCTAAGCAACCATCACTCTTATGACAACACTGCCTCTTATGCCACAGTCCCAGTCACTCGCCACTTCACCACAACACTTCCTCCCAAACTGCAGGCCTGGGCACACACTTAAACATCATTACAAGCCTCCCTCCCTCCCTCTCACACTGGTAACCACAGATTTATAATCACATGCCCATGCACCCCTGCCCTCATTCACACACTCCCACACCATAAGCCCAGGCACTCAGTTTCCTAAAAACAAAAGACAGTTACTGAAAGCACATGTAAAGAATCTTGTGTTGGATACAGTTTAAAAAATGTCAGAGAGAGAGAATGGAAAGAGTGTTCCATGTATCTCAAACCACTACATTGCTTTTAATTTCAGTGTGAAAAAATCTGATTTGGTATATTATTCCTGGGTAGTAGGTTGGTAGACAGCAACTACCCAGGAAGGTACTACCATCCTGCCAAGTGAGTGTAAAACGAAAGCCTGTAATTGTTTTACATGATGGTAGGATTGATGGTGTCTTTTTTTTCTGTGTCATAAACATGCAAGATTTGAGGTATGTCTTGCTACTTCTGCTTACATTAAGGCCACACTACACATGCCTGTACAAGCATTTATATACACACCCTTCTGGGTTTTCTTCTATTTTTCTTACAAGTTCTTGTTCTTGTTTATTTCCACTTATCTCCCTGGGGAAGTGGAACAGAATTCTTCCTCCGTAAGCCATGGGTGTTGTAAGAGGCAACTAAAATGCCAGGAGCAAGGGGCTAGTAACCCCTTCTCCTGCATATGTTACTAAATGTAAAAGGAGAAACTTAAGTTTTTTCTTTTGGGGCACCCCGCCTCGGTGGGATACAGCCGGTGTGTTGAAAGAAAGAAGATGGTATATTATTGCATTTTCAATCATAATGTAATTTTTAGGGAGAGGGAAAAAGGTTACAAGTACATACTGGATGCTGGAGTCACAAAAAGCTTTCAGTAATTTATCTCATTTGTAAGTTGGTGTCCTCCTATAAGGTTATTTTAGTGATCCTTCAAGGGGAAATATGTTGATGCTGTTGAAGGACTTTGTTGATGCTGTTGAAGGACTTTTAACCAAGAAATTGAAGCTACCCTTCCCTTCCTCAGATCAAATATGATTACCTCTCCCCCCCTCCTCCATTCCTTAGGTGATGCATAACTCTTAAGGGTTTAGCACATTCCCATGAATATTATGTTCATGCTTTTGTATTTGCATGATTCTCCTCGCTTTCTCATTAATTGTTGTAAATATTTTTTAACTAATTCATGGGACACACTTCACAAAAAAATTTGCCTAATATATGGAGGGTAACCACTTTACTATTAAGATTATTTTGTGAATGAATATTAAACATGCATCATTGTTTAAATATGATAAAAATAGAAATCAAACTTCTAGGTTGGGGAGAGTGGACTGGAAGCAATGGCCCGTCACTGCCCAAGTCTTGAGGTGTTGATGCTGGCAGAATGTGGCCAGACTACTGACCAAGTCATACTTGTCATTGCTCATTATCTTAAACGTATCAAGACACTAGATCTACAGGTAGGAATATGCTACATATTTCTTTATAGCAATGAGTGAGCTTTGTCTTCACATAAAGTACTAGTAATGACTCTCTTTCAATAATAGACCAAAAATACACATTGCTCTTATTTCTTGTGATTTTTATGTACTGTTTATAATAAGCAAGAAGCCAGCTTTATTACAGCCTCTTGTGTTACTTGGTATCCTGAGGCTGCAAATGATGTCTTAGACTTTGACAACTTGATGCTAATATAAAAAAAAAAAAGTGTGGACATATCTGTGTATCTTTTTTCTTAAATTAGAGACTTCTGTTTTTGTTTATATGATATTGTCAGTTACTACATTAAAAACCACAATGGTTTTGCTGTACAATAAAATTTTTATAACCACAGTGTAGGCACTTTTTCATTCACAAAAGATTTTAGATTATCATTATCAGTACTAATAGCACTGTATCGATGCCAGTGAACTTTAGTCATTACTTATTTTTATGTTAGTGTTTAGAGTTATTCCACCATTCCTAGCTCTCACATAATTCCTCTTTTCTCTCTTTGATTCATAAGTTTGGATATGCACACAGCACCAAATATTCATAATAATAATTAACCCCTTCTGATGTATAAATTACGAAATTTAAAAAGAGGAACTTAGTTTTTTTTGGGGGGGCCACCCTGCTTTGGTGGGATATGGCTGGTTTGTTAAATGAAGAATAATAATAATATCATTATTTCTACAAGTACATGTACAAGATATACAGGCCTGGCTGACATCAGTAACATATTACTATATAGAAAGCCCCTTGTTATGCAGAGCATTTCGGGCAAATTAGGTCGGTTTTGTCCCAGGATGCGACCCACACCAGTCGACTAACATGCAGGTACCCATTTTACTGATGGGTGAATAGGGACAACAGGTGTAAGGAAATATGCCCAGTGTTTCCACCCTTGCCGGGAATCAAACCAAGGACTCATAAGAACATAAGAAAGGAGGAACACTGCAGGAGGCCTGTTGGCCCATACTAGGCAGGTCCTTTACAATTCATCCCACTAGCAAAACATTTGCCCAACCCAATTTTCTATGCTACCCAAGAAATAAGCTCTGATGTGCAAGTCCCACTCAAATCCAACCCCTCTCACTCATAAGAACATAAGAAAGGAGGAACACTGCAGCAAGCCTGTTGGCCCACACTAGGCAGGTCCCCCACAATTCATCCCACCAACAAAACATCGTGTGTGAAGTGAGAGCTTTGCCTACCAGGCCACGGGCCACAGTGGCTTTGTAACGGTTGTCACATCATGATGATATTTTTTGATGGTGAGATACTATCACTGTTTCTTTGATAACCCATGATGTTTATTGCTTTTTGACTTATTACTACAAGTTCTTAAGTTAAGTGCATTTTAGTTTACTCTGACCTTATGTAAAATGTCAAGATATTTGAAGACGGTTACAGTTTGAAATAGTGAAGCTTTGAGTTATTTTCCAGCTTTGCAGTTTTCTCTTCCATTCAGTTAGACAACTTTCATTTAGGCACCTCCCTGGTACCTTCTTCCTCAACTTCTCATAATGTCTATGACATTGTTTCAGTTAACCCGTAAACGGTCCAAATGTATATATACATTTTTTCAACATTTGAAAGTATGTAAAAAAAGTAGATCTTCTTTTTGTTTTTTACATTTGAAAATGTGTAAAAAAAACGTAGATCTACTTTTGTAGCACTACACATGTAAACGTAGATCTGCTTGAACCGTTTACGGGTTAATAGATGGTGGTGTGATTACATGATTACACCATTGTTTATCTAAATCTTCCCAGCTGATTCCTACAGCTCTAACAGCTGTAGTTACCCTATCCCATGGCTTGTTGCTCATTTATTCTCACTCATTATGATAATAGCTGCACTGTGTATAATGTGACTTACTTTTTTTTCTGGGATGTAAAACAGTTTTATAAAAATTAATATATTAAAATTAACTTTATCTCATACACAACAGATAATCAGAAATGTCAAACTTTAATAACATTGTAGTAGGGGCTCTTGATTCAAGAAATTTGAGCTACCCTTTCTTTCCTCAGAATAAACTTGATGGCCTCCCAATTCCCAGGCACTATATGGCCTTTATAATGAAGCAGTGTAGTCAGTAGTTATTAATTTATTTTTTTTGTCAGATGTGTGTGAAGCTGACAGATGATGCTCTGGACAGTCTCAGCAACTGTCACACACTACAGTACCTGGATGTCAGTGGTTGTGAGAAGATGAGCCTCGAGCAGGTGAGATATGTTCAAATGAAGATACCCAGGCTCCTTAATCTTCACCACCGTGGTGTGACGGAGAAAACCACCAATGGAAGCGAGACGGAGAAATTTCCTCCCAAAGCAACTGTGAAGATTCCCTCCCCACCACCCCTGTTTTCTAAACTTAAAAAGAAAGTATCACGCATATAGAAAATGAAATTCAGGTGTAATTGTAATTTAGTTACGAAAACCTCAACAGGTATTTCTAGATTCAATATCTTTATGTACTGAGTAACAGGTAAACAGTAGAGCCTTTGCTTTTCACACATGTTTATTCTTAGTCATATATGGATGTAAAATATGTGAAAGTAATAACCTTAAATGAGGACAATAAGAAAAATAGGTACACTGTGTAGTAAAACCACAATAACAAGTGAATGTGGCACATTGCATGTTATGTGCTGGTGGTGATAGTAATGTCCAACTTGAGGGTACAGTAGTAAAGAGAGAAGGTAGGTGGAGAAGAAAGGAGACAGTGACACTGAAAGTAACAGTACAACACTGTGCTAACGACACTGTACAATATGTGATCCCCATGCTTTAGTGACACTGTACATCATGTGACCCATGTTTCAGTGACACTACATCATGCAACCCTCATGCTTCAAATGAATGAGAAGTTTCCATTTTTGGCACATTAATTCTACACTTGCACTTACTTGACCACTGAGAACTGAGGAAGGAACAAGAGAGTGAAGGAAGAGGATGAGAAATTTGGAGAAGGAAAATTTTAAACAGAAGGGAGAGAAGGATGAGCGAGTTAAGAGGGAATGATACAGTTAATATTGACTTTTCAGCCATAGAACATCCTTGCTTGAGGTGATAGAAGGGTTATCAGCATCATCATCTGTAGGTATAGATATTGTGAGGTTTAAGGCTGCTGGTTGGCTTAACTTAGCAAGGTTTGCAGTCTGAAGAGGTAACACATGTTTTCTGAAAATAGTGAGTAATATGAGGTTGTATTTGAATTATAGTTTCATGCAGATGATCTGAGATAAGTGTACATTCATGATTAATTCTTGTCTCCATGTTGGACATGACTTTTATCAAGCCATCAGCCATATCACTGAAAGAATACTTTGGAGATGGCTTATTCAGCTCAGTTTTCTGAGGGAACTCCTTGGCTTGGGCTGGCTATATGATACCACTGATCATTTGACTTAGTGAATGAAAATGTATTAAACAGGTGAGATGTCATACATCATTGTATAAAAGAGAAAGGTAATCATCAGAAAAAACATCAGTGGTCTTAAAAAAAAAAAAATAGTGATTGTTCACAAAAACTGTGGTCGTACACTGACAATAGTCTTGTAAAAAATCTGTGATCAAATATAAAGGCATTGGTTTAACAGAAACCAGTAGTTTTATAAAACAGCAGTAATATTATAAAAATATTCTATTTAGTCTAATAATATAAAGCAGTTGTCATTACAAAAGTGCATCATTTGTACATAATCTAAAATTCATTACTAGTCAAATCCTACAATACTGTCAGAAATGTCCGAGTAGGAGAGCAGTGCAAAGCCATGAATTGCATTTAACAATACTGTACATATTCAAAATTTGTGCCATGTGAAAACCATCAAATTAACCATAATTATATAGAGGGATAGGAGATCGAGGCAAGTCCCTAAAGGCAAATTCCTCAATGCATATTCCAAAACTAATAGCAGAGCAAAAATTAAAAATCACCTAAAAAAAATTCTGTGAGGCACTAGAGTGGAGCAAAGCCCAGGCGGTGCATTCCACATTACAGTAAATTTGTTTCAGGTCAAAACCAATGTCAGTCAAAAAAAAAATATAGGATTGGCCTGAGCTTTAACCATGCCCCAGGACAAATGATCCTCAGAATTGACTGCAGGTATATAAGAGAATGGGGCAATTTCAGTCAGGCGCAGTCAGCGATACAAACCTAAAACTCACTTCACATCAGGAATGAGACAGGTGGGGAAGGGGGGAAAGCAACAAGGTTTGAGATGAGGCATAGAAGGGTAGCTCTAATTTCTTGGCTCAAGAGTCCTTCACCATCATCAAAACACCTTGAAGGAACTGTGAAATATAAACTAAGCCTTGCAACATTTTTCCATTCATATTCATTCTGGTTAGAAGATTTTGTCCCATTTATAAAACAAGTTTTTATAGTTCCTATATTAAAATCATTATCATTACACAAATTGAAACACACTGCTAAAGATCCCTTCAAGGCAGTGCCTTGATATTCATGAAGGGTTCTTGTTCCAAGGAATTTGCTTTCCACTTTCCTGTAATCAAACATGATTACTTTTTATTCCCCTGGCGCTGTGTGATGCCCAGGGACCTAGCACTTTTGCATAATTATACAGTAAACTCTTATAACATGCAGGATACATTCCTGAAAATTAGCACCTTACAGAAATTAGTGGTACATATGTGAAGTGAAAAATGTATGGGGAAACTAGGGTTATGTTTCTGAGACCTCCAAATTTGGTAGGTTTGGAGGCAGATTTTCATTTGTTTACACAAAATCACTCTATGCATTGTGGCTTTGTTTGAGAATTTTCTATAATGATAATAGTTCTCCATTCTAAAACTGTGTAAATACTTGAATTTTTAATTTTGTTAAATAGTAATAAAACTTCCACTTTAAAAAGTCAGGAATAGTACCCATGTTAAATAACATTTGAAGCAAGACTTACCGACAATTATTGCTATTATGTGCCGAGCCAGTGAAAGGTTTGCTCTGCATGTAATGTCTTTCTTCCATATATTAAATAACTAGTAATCAATGATGCTGATTACTCTCTGCATATCTATAAAACATTAGCAAATTAAATTAGTCGAGCATTTTAGACAAGCTGTTCCTTTACTTAATGTTCTTTTATAAAAAAAAATGAGAGTGGATTCTTGGTATTAAGATTAAGCAGATGATATTTCCATAGAATTTTATAGGAATAATAGATTCGGCTCATTTTCAAAACTTTCTCCCCTTCTGAGTCAATTTGGAATTTTTTGAGGTTGACACCTCTATCTACCCTATTCACCATACTATGTAAATTTTGTGTGTGTTTGTGTGTGTGTGTGTGTCTGTGTGTGTGTGTGTGTGTGTGTGTGTGTGTGTGTGTGTGTGTGTGTGTGTGTGTGTGTGTGTGTGTGTGTGTGTGTTGTGTGTGTGTGTGTGTGTCTGTCTGTCTGTCTGTCTGTGTCTGTCTGTTTATATATAGACAGCCAACTTGTTGAAAAAAAAAAATTATTATATATATATTATATATTTTTTTTTTTTTTTTTTTTTTTTCTTCAACAAGTCGGCCGTCTCCCACCGAGGCAGGGTGACCCAAAAAAAGAAAGAAAATCCCCAAAAAGAAAATACTTTCATCATCATTCAACACTTTCACCACACACACACATTATCACTGCTTTTGCAGAGGTGCTCAGAATACAACAGTTTAGAAGCATATACGTATAGAGATACACAACATATCCCTCCAAACTGCCAATATCCCAAACCCCTCCTTTAAAGTGCAGGCATTGTACTTCCCATTTCCAGGACTCAAGTCCGACTATATGAAAATAACCGGTTTCCCTGAATCCCTTCACTAAATATTACCCGATAAAGAAGAAATGCTTTCATAAAGTTTTTCTTCTTTTTACATTTAGTAATTTATACAGGAGAAGGGGTTATTAGCCCCTTGCTCCCAGCATTTTAGTCACCTCATACAACACACTTAGCTTTTAGAGGAAGGAGTCTTCTCCACTTCCCCATGGAGTATATATTTTTTTGTTGAATATATATTTCTGTGAAAACAAAACGTTAATTTTTAAAAAATTTGTAAGTGAATTTCACTGCAGCTGTTTGAATAAGTAATAGCTGTTTGCTTTTGTGTCACATATATTTAAGGATATTGTGATTGTTTATTACTGTAAACTTACAGTACTTGGTTTATGTATCTTTTAATCATGATACATAACCAAGTGAACTTGCATGTGCCAGAACATACAACAATGTTCAAGATTTCTTTTATCAGGAATAAGCAATATATTTGGACAGTGTTGAAATGTGTTTGAGAGTTGGCTTAGATGAGCCAGTCACTTAATAATAATTATAAAAATATGGCCAACTTGATAAAAAAAAAAACTGTAGTACAGTGGACCCCCGGTTAACGATATTTTTTCACTCCAGAAGTATGTTCAGGTGCCAGTACTGACCGAATTTATTCCCATAAGGAATATTGTGAAGTAGATTAGTCCATTTCAGACCCCCAAACATACACGTACAAACGCACTTACATAAATACACTTACATAATTGGTTGCATTCGGAGGTGATCGTTATGCGGGGGTCCACTGTATAATTAATTTAGTGCTAAACCATTATGGGTCATATGGCACTGCAGCCACATATTAGTTAAAGGATATTTATTCACATTATTTTTTCATACTAAATTTATAATGGTTAAAAAAAATGTGAGCAGCTTTTGAGAATCTTTATTGACAAGCAATATATTATATGGTTATTTATGATAATAGCAGTTTAATCTTCTTTTTACATGTAGTTTTATCAGCAAGTACTGAGCTAGCAAATACTTTTATGAAATATGTGCATTGTCTTGACACTTCATTGATAATATCATTAAAAAAGGTAAAAATGTATTAAATACTTTTTTAAATTCAATACATATTTTAGGTTGTACAGTTCATTAACAATTTAGTTTGCATAGTGTTATCAAAAATATTAATTACAAACATAATTATTAATAATGCTAAAGGATACTAAAATATAAAAATATGAAATTCTATTATTAACGTTCATAATGCATTTGAACATACAGTACAAAAAAGATGTTGCTAATGTAATTTTAAATATAAAAGTTTATGTACATACTTTGTGGATGTCTTGTAAATATTTTGGATGTGTGTCTTCACTCACTGGTTTATGGTTCTGGGGGTCAATTTTCAGCTTTTTGTCTCATCACATATGATTGACTTCACAAGTTTACTGTTTCGTTGGCTCTGGCACGTTTATTCTTAAAACTGTGTTCGGTGTTTGCTTCCACTTCCTGACCGCATTGAGGTTGAAAAAATGCTTCTGTAATTTTCCACTCTCAGTCTTCAAATAACATATTCTTGTTTGCCCCATCAAGATGATCCTAGAAAGGGAAAGTTAGTTATGATTCCTTGGTCTATCCACTCTTGAAGGATGAATAGATCAAAACATGTAAGTTTCATCACCAGTTTGTGGGTTAGTTATCCACCTTCAGTAATACATAAGTCTGTAAAGAATGCAATGAAATTGTTGTGTGTGTTTGTATACAAAAGTTGTGATAGTATGTAGAGTGCACAGATAAGTAATCATTAATTGTTGCCACTGTAAGCTGTTAAGGCAAAGTATAAGATTTTAGTGTACAGTATTATGTATAAACCTCAAAAGAAATATGTTAGTAATGAGTCTGAATTCCTTGCTTGTGCCTTATACCATATAAATTATTTTCAAACAGTTTAAAGCCACATGTGTTATAGATGTTATGTGTAAAGAAATCTTTCATTAATAGACCAGCACACTGTTACATGGGGTTGTAAGTCACAATTTACTATAGTATAGGATAATCGTCTTTTGACATGTAAGTGTACTGTAATGACAAATATCTGACAAGTCACCAAATGTGCATGGTAAATGGTATCCAGGTAATTAGGACTAAACTTGATTTCTCTCAAATAGTGCCACTGTCAGTGGACAAAGCTGATTGGTCCCTCCAAGCTTTGACTTTCCCTTTAACATGTGCCTCTTCCCTGCCATTTGGGGCTGCATGACCCCTTTGAGTTTCTTGCTTTCTGTTGTAATAATTGATTAATGAATTAAAATTTGAGCTTGTCTGATATTAGTAAAGGTGGTTTACAAAGTCACAGTAAAAGATGAAATTTTTGATAAGGTTAATAATTTAAGGTTTTTATGTAGCAGGATTTGTCCTTATACCCTGGTAAAAAAGAGTGTTGCAGCTGTTATAACTGACATTTAGTTTCTCATATTGAAGTGTCCATTAATGTTACTTGAACTTATTATTACTGATGTAAGAACGTGTTATTAGAGTCATGATGCATATATGTTGATTCCACTATTTATGTGAAACCTACAAATACTGTACACTTGTATAAAATTGACTGAAGTGCTGTATGTACATATTGTATATACAGTACTGTACTTCAGTACTGTATATACAGTACTGTACTTCAGTACTGTATATACATATAGCAACTAAAAAAAATTATTTATATACACAGCCATGTAATTTATACTACGCACCTAAATTCATATTGTTGTGAAATATAGTATGTATATATTGAGAAATAGTTAGGGTGAAATCTTATATCTAAATTATTTCCTTTATATTCTTAAGTACAGAAAGAAATTTGTCTTAATCATAGCTTATTTATTTTGCTGTAATGTACATTCATTCACCCTTAATGTTGTTAGTTTACCTGTCATGGAAAATCTCGACATGGGTCTTGAACAATTTCTTTTCTGATCTAATTACTCTGTCTCCCAGTAAAGGAAGATGATGACTTGTAAATACTGGTTGCTTTATGGGGTTTATGGCCTATCAACTATACAAGAGTCATTAAGACTGAGTATACCTCACATACACACATATATACATGTACAGTATATAGCATGCTCAGTAATAATCCACATGGAGATAAACATGGAAAATACAGTTGGTCTGTATGTTTGGACCTCCAACCAGAGTTTGCTTCAGCGGATACAAAAAACGTGACGTGGAAACATGTTTATATAGGGAGGGTGTGCCCCGCAGGTGTGCAAGTAAGTGTAGAGTGTCAAGTCTGGAAGAAGTTGAGAGTGGATCATCAGGTCAGACAGCAGGATAGTGTAGAGAGTTGGGGAAGGAAGTGGGCAAGTGTGCTTCCTGACCTGATGCTATGCATGAAGTCGGGAAGCAGGCGAGTGTAAGGAGTCAGGTCAGGAAGAAGGCGAGTGTGGAGCATCAGGCCAGGAAACGGGCAATTGTGGAACATTGGTCAGGAAGAAGGCAAGTGTGGAGCATCAGGTCAGGAAGCAGGCAAGTGTCGAGCATCAGGTCAGGAAGAGAGCAAGTGTGGAGCATCAGGTCAACAAGCAGGTGACTGGAACCAAATTCTGACTTTAGTAAATGGCATCACTATACTCTGTTATTCTAAATTCAATACTGGCATTTTGAATTATATTTGATTCTGGTATGAACCTCTTGAGGGCAAATTTTGAAACATCTGGTTTTCAGTGTCCCTGTGAAAAATTTTAATTTGGTATAGTGTCTGCGAGAGCCAATTCTACAATTTTTTTTTTTGTAGTTGCAGTGTGATTTGTGTGATAGCAGCAGCTTCCCAGTGAATATTGTGGTTAATATTGAAAGATTGTTGAACTCTTGCCATGACAAATCTCCCTCGTATTCAGTGATCCTCATTGATAACATACTTGAATGGACTCTTTGCATCATAAATTTTTGTTATCTTGTGTACTAGTTGTGTTACTAAGAAAAGTAATACCCCAATTGGTTAGGTTAGAAAGTGATTATATTAGTCATTTGTTAGGACAGTTCAAGGTTCCTTTCGTTGAGTTGTGATTTACAGGAGGGCCCCTCTTATACAGGTTAGGTTCCGGGCTACCACTGTAAAGCGAAACATAGCCTTTTCACTTTCAAATGCATATAAAAGCCTGATAACATGTTTACACTGTCATATTAAGTGAGCAATAGAGCTAGGCCTCAAAAATGCATTTACAGTACACACATTATTTACCTTAAAATGTTTTTGTACTTAGCATATAGTGAGTGGTGAATATATTCATTGTAGTTAGCCTGAATAAATGAAGAATGGGTATAATTGAAAACCACTGTACTAGCGAAATGCTATAAAGCAAAGTGCTGTGAAGCGGGACCCTCCTGCACTGGAGTAGAGTCTTTGGGAAATAAGATTGTATAATAGTTTGTATTTACTTTTTCACTTTGATGAACCACTCAGGGTTTTGAGATTTTTGCTCTGAGGATTTTTTTCTTGGTCCAATTTCGATGGGCTGCACATTCTCAGTACATGTAAAAATATGCTTGAGATGGTACTTTTTTTGTTTTCGTTTTTTCATTTATAGTGAATGGTAACTATAGAAGTGGGCAT